CCTGGATTATTTTTCCATTGTGTCCATAAATCATCAAATGTTATTTGTAAATCAGCATTTTGAAAACGACGATGTCGTACTGAATCAGTTTTAGATTCTAATTCTTCATGAATAAACTAAAATAATTTCTTTTTTTTTTTTTCAAATATCATTTAATAAAAAAAACAAAAAGATATTTTACATCACGACTTTCAGATGCTTCAATCAATCCATCTTTATCATCATCCATCTGTTCATGTATTGATTTTATCGCCTGACGACCAAGTCGTTCTTTATCAGCATCCGTACATGAATTAAATACACCAGTACAATCTATGAAGATTAGAATATTTAACAAAAATAAGAAAAATAATATTTAACCTGGATCCGGAATATTATAAGCAATATTATTATTATTATTATTTTTATTATTATTCGATTGAATTGACTGAAATAAACTTAGTATTAGAATAACATAGAAAATAAATTGATCCATTTGACTACATGAATCTAAAATAATGTAAAAGTGTGCGTTGTTATTATTATTATTTTTTTTTTCTGTTTAACAGAACAACGATTAATATCATTGCGTTGATGATATATGTCTTTAGTCGATAAGAAAAGAATTACAGGTGAAATGCTATGAAATGTCAATGTATAAAAGGACAATCAGAAAAATATAAAAATGAGTAGAAAAAAAAACAGACTATAATTCTTTTCTTTTCTGTTATTTTTTATCGGTCTATGAGTCTCTTATAAAAAAAAAAACACTGAATAAATATCGATAGAACGAATAATTCAAAGAAATATATTCGTTTATATATTTATGTATTTTTCAAACATCATAATAATAAATATGTCGAAATAGTATGTAATTTTCTATTGAATGAGAAACCAAAAAAAGAAAATAATAATAACAAGAAGAAGAATGAGTAAGAGCTCACTTAATATGTTAAAAGAAAAATATTCTAGAAACTTTGCTGTAAAGAATAATCTCATATATATATATATAAATATATATATATGCGCATATTTCTATAGATAGAAACGCTGTTGTTGTTGTTATTATTGTTTTACTTTTTTTTTGTGTTTCGGCTCATTTTCGATAGAAATGACGTTGGAGATAAACAGAATGGAAAGAGGAAAACGAACAAATAGAATAGAAATTTGTTGTTACCAGCTGATGCTATTGCCAATTGCCTTTCAAGCGTAGCTGACATTTTTAGAAACAAATATACAATATATTGTCTATCTTCTGCAAATGTAATCGGACACCATAGACACACTTACTTCTTTAAATAAAAGAAAAAGAATTAATGACTTCAACCTATTGTAAACTATATATATATATATAGATATGTTATAATGAATCAAATAAACAAAAAAGAAGTAATAATCAAATCTATACAATGTCATAATATGATGGTTCAATAAATATCTACTTCAGACGAGAAGATAGCTTTGTCATAACCTTTCGAATAATATTGATTGATTGATCGATTGATTGATTTTCTTATTATGTAAAGTAAGAATATCTAATGATTCATCGTATGTTATAAGTCGACAATGATGATCCAATGAAAATGTTTTTTCGTGAAAATTTATCATTGGATGTTTATATAAACCTCTGACAATACTTTATTTGAGCAAGTGTTCCATATTTACCTTTCAAATTTCAAACATTATCTTATTGTATCTTTTTCAAATTGATTATCTAAAAAGGAAAAAGAAAATGTCACTCTATGATGATGAAGTACTTGAACCGAATAAAGATGGTACTACAAAAGGTTAGTTTAAAAAATAATCGAAAAAGAAAAATATTATATCTATTTGTTTATTTTTTTTATAATCAGTTGGAGCTTGGTCAGACTCAATTAAATTACTTCAAGGACCAATTCATGCGAAAAAATTTCATCAACAACAACAACTTAAAGTAAAATATTTTATTTTGAAGATTATTATTTACATTAAATATTGATCATTGAAATTTTTTTTTTGTTTTTTAGAAAGATCTTACTAAAAATGTTGTTGGACCTGTAGCTGATCTACGTAAAAAACGAGCACCACCATTACCACGTCATCCAAATGCTGAAGTTACATTTAATAGTATTACTGGAAAGGTTAAATATTTTTAATTTAAACAAAAACAAAAAAAAAATAATTTTTTTAATATTATTTAAGATGGAATTACGTGATAGTAATTCACCACAACAAGATTCTAGTGGACCATCATCTTCAGTAACAGCATTAATTCAAAATATAACATCAAATATATCTGTATTTGGTTATACAGATGAATATGATCCATTAAAACCAAATGATTATGAAAAAATAAAAGAACAACGTAAACGTGAACAATATCAACGTGATCGTGATATTGAACGTCAACGACGTAATGAAGATGAACAACGGAATTTATATGATGATGATCATGAAAATGATGAAAATGATGATTATAATCGTGAATCAAATGATCGATCAGTACGAAAAGGAAATGTTTTTGCACCACCTACATCATTAATTGAAGAAGATAGACGTGCTAGTAGTAATAATCAAAATGAACCAGGTATATTTAATTAAAAGAAAAAAGACAAAAATTCTTTTTTTTGATGTTTTAGATACAAAAGATGAATATCCATCAATACCTTCATCTAATTCAGATGAACGTATTGAAGATATGGAAACAGAAAGTACAGGACCAAATCTTAGTTTTGGATCTACTAAAGGGTATTTTATTAATTTATTATTTAAGATTAATAAAACTTTTAGAATCGATCTTCTACAAACAAAACAAAAAAGACCATAGCATAGTAAAATAACAAAGATAAATCAACGACTGTTATACAGTTTTGAGTTTGAGTATTGATTAGAGACATGCATGAGATTCCGTCTCCGGATATAAATTATAGAAACTTCTAAAACCTTTTTTTTCATATGTAACATCACTTGATGGAAATTATCTCTAAATTTCAGTTGTATTTTTTCTTGGAAATCATTCCAAGTATCTTACCTATACAAAAATATTCAAAAATTTAATCAATTTTAATTTTTCTATCTAACATATCTCTTTATTCGCTCATAATACTCTCAAATCAGATATGATTCGTGATAGTTCACGAATTTTGAATTACAGAATATCTCTGAACATGTCAGGTGTTGTAAATTTACGGAAAGAAAATTTCTCGAAATTAAAATTTTTAACCCTGCAAGTCTCTGGTACAGATGCAATCTTCTATTCGTCCACACTCACATCCATGTCTCTTTTTAGTATTTTTACTTTTAACATTAGTCAGGGAAATGATACGGAGTCTAGCTAAAAAAGTATCACATAACAGAAAAATTCAAAGTTTTTCCTTGTTTGAACAATTACAATTATATGTATGAGTACTATTTAATAAAAATTTCTTAAATTAAATCTCGGTACAATCTAAATTCATAAAATCTTATTAAAATTTCAATCGAGTTATTCGCTTACTATTTGTTAATCATCAAACACAAACGAACATACTTTTCAGTTAATTTCGACTAAACACAAATCATTGCAAGAGATTGCTATAAAAATTAACATCAATCCAGGGATGTCCAGAAGTCGTCAAGATTAAAGGGGGGAGGATGAGTGTTCTTAGGAATCGACGTGCGACAAAAAATAATAAAACGTTAGAACTGCGCTATAGAAAAGCAAAAATCTTGTAAGACTAGATGGCGAGATACTTCTATATCACTCTACATCAAAGAATTTTTATACAAGAAAATATAATAGTCACGTACAATCTCTTTTGATGACATCTCTTCTCTTGATCTGAAGTATCAACTTAAGAAATAATGATATATAATTTATTTTTAGTGCAGCTGCTGTTGCTAAAATGATGGCTAAAATGGGTTATCGAGAAGGTCAAGGTCTTGGTAAATCTCAACAAGGTATGAGTTCAGCATTAATTGTTGAAAAAACAAGTAAACGTGGTGGAAAAATTGTACATGAAAAAGAATTACCAATTAAAGGTAAATAATTAATTAGATTAAAAAATAGATTATTAAAAAAAAAATACTTTTTTTTTTTAGATATAATTTTACTTCCACCACCACCACCGCCAACACCTTCTCTTCTACCAACTATGGCACCTCCTTCTGTTATTATTCCAAAAGGTGATTCCGGTATAAATATAGCTGATGAATTAAGAGGAGCAACAAAAGTTATTTTACTTAAAGTATTTAAATAGTTTCAAGATACAAAAAACATATACTTTATTATTCGATTTTCTTTTTAAGAATATGGTTGGTCCTGGTGAAGTTGATGATTTACTTGATAGTAAAAAAATTTATTTTTGAAAATATTCAAATTTTTATTTTATTTTTTATTTTTCAGGTGAAACAAAAGAAGAATGTCAAAAATATGGTGAAGTTGAAAAATGTCTTATTTATGAAGTATATACATGAAATTCTATATATTTTTTTTTTTTTGATTAATTAAATTTTAATTTTTATAAGATTCCTGATGCACCTGAAGATGAAGCTGTACGAATATTTATTGAATTTAAACGAGTTGAATCAGCTATTAAAGGTATGTTGTCTAATATTTAGTTGAATGGTTTCTTGCGATTGAAATTCTTTGGTAACGAGTTCGAATCTTCATTGAGGAAAGTCTTTGCTATGATGATTTAAATGATAGGTATGATAGAAAAAAAATTTTCATGATTCCATATCATAGAGCCAAAAAATAATTATCTGAGCAAAGATTTATATATATTGAAATTAATTATTTTATAAATTCTAGCTGTTGTCGATATGAATGGACGATATTTTGCTGGACGTGTTGTTAAAGCAAAATTCTACAATGTTGATAAATTTCGTCAATTTGATTTAGCTGATGATTCTTGATATAAAAACAATATTATCTCATATGTTTTATGTCTTTGTACAGTTTATGTGATGATGTTTACAAAACAAAAATAAAAAAATAATTGTGAAAACAACAGTTTGAAGTGATTATTTTTTTGTTTTGTTTTGTTTTGTTCTTTCAGATTATGTCTGACGAAAATAAACAATCATTTAATCTTGAAGATGAATCAGAATTAAACGTAAATGATAATGATGTATTTCATATAGATGAAGAAGATAATGTAAAAAATCATGACAATCAATGGATTAATGAATTACGTTTAGCACTTGAACGTGGATGTGATTTAGGATCAATAAGATCTATTGGAAAATGTCGACCATTGACAGATGATTTACGTTTAGCAGTTTGGAAAGTAAGACGAAAAAAAAAAACAAACAACACTTTTCAAAGATTTTTATATCGAATTTTAATTACATGAATGTACTGATAACTAAAATCTTTTGTTGCCCAGTTCCAAAAATTTTCGACCCCCTTCCCCACGGATTCTAGCCGTCTGAGAAATGTGAAGAGTGTGATAATCACCGAATACAAAAAAACGGGAAAAATAGGTCTCTCCGTATTTTATTGACATCTCCATCAGTTCTTATGTGTTCGGACTAATTTTTTTTGTTTTAAGATGTATCTTATTATCCTCTGTATTTCGCATTTCATTCAAACTTATTTTGTCTTTTTTATAAGATGAAAAGTAAAGATTTTCGAAAAGTAGTTTTTTTACAAGTACGAAAACGGTGATGATCCAAATAAGATCTTTCGTCATTTAAATGGATACTTGAGATTAAATACTATAAAAAAAAAGTGATGCAAGATGATCCGTGACACTGATTCTATTCAGCTATTAACACTTTCTGGCGGCCAACATCTTGCTCGGATCAGTAAAATGATTCAAAAAGTCAAAGACAAACTCGATCAAAAGAAGATCGTATCCACTCGAAGTTTGGCTAAACCAAATCAATTGCTCATCGAATATTGAAGGAGAATCTGGAACTCTATGTCTACAAGAAGATAATCGAAGTAAAACTCACCGACAAACATAAAGCTAAATGAAAAAAATCCATAAACTGGATCTTCCATAATTTTCAAAAAGAAGACACGATGAGAATTGTATTTTCAGATGAAAAATTGTTCAATACCGATGGCATATACAATCCTAAAAAGGTCATGGTCTGATTGGATGTTTGCTCCAAAGAAGTGATACCCACGGTCATTTTCAACCAAGGCGCAGTAGACCATGCTGAATATATCCAGAATATTCTTCCAATAGCACTAAAAAGACCTTTTGGAGAACATTGGACATTTCAACAAGACAGTGCGAAAGCTTACGTCCATCATCTAACACAGAAATAGTGCATGGACAACTTTCCATCGTTCATAAATAAAAATCGTTGGTCACGGAATAGTCCAGATTTAAATCCATTGGCTTATTCTATTTGGAACGAATTTGCAAAATCGATCAATTGGGATAGCGTGACATCAGAAGACACGCTTATCGAAGAATTGAAACGTACAGTTAAAAAAATTCGACAAAATATTATTTTGTAAAATTGTTCACCGTCGACTGTTCGTTTAAAGCGTATATTAAAAAATCATGGATGTTATTTACATAAATAAAAAATACATCATTTTGTAGAGCATCTCAAGACGAATCTTTTTAATAAAAAAAAAATTAAGTCTGAGCATGCGAATATTAAGGGAGATATCATTGAAATACTGAGAGGTCTATTTTCCTTGAGACATTCGTTATCTCGTGTCGTCAGAACGGTTATCCTATTCCGATTAGAAGATTTCATTGAGAGTATCAAACCACGATTCGAGGATGATCTGAATTTCGCCAACTAGCCAAAGTAGGGTAGACTTTCGTAAGCTGTATCCATCAATGTAGTCGATAGGATTTTTTAAAATTCGTAGCCGAATTGATGAAACTTCGGATTCAAATCCCAAAAGTTTAATAAACTAGATCTGAGTCCATAAAAAACGTTGACCTGCGACTTCCTGCAAATGACTATTCTAATTTGAATTAAATGCTTGGTAATTGAAAATATGTTGATCTTATGTTTTTGATGCGTATAAGAAATTTTTTTTAGACTTGTCTTGATATCAATGATGTTAATGAATATGATTATATTGATAGTGATGTATTTGATTTACCTGAACAAAGTCTAATACGTGAAGATGTTGTACGTTTAGTGCGTAGGTGTAAAATAAATAAAATAATTCATTTTAATTGAATATTTTTCAATATTCTAGGTTCATTAAAAATAAATCAAGATGTTGAAGCATCAAAAATGAGTGATATTGAAGCAGTTATAACATTCTATTGCAAAAAATAGTATAGAAATTTATAAAAATTTTTTCTTTTTTTTTGGTATAATTAATGTATTTATTTAGTAATGAAAATTATGCAAAAGGAAATGGATGGATTGATATATTAAAACCATTGATTACACTAGAATATAAAGATCGAGCTGAACTCTATGAATTATTTGCTAATATTCGTAATCGTTATATTTCTCGGTATGTAATTTTTTTGTTTATTATAAGATTTATTTCGAATTGAATCTTTTGATTTTTTTTTGAAGTTGTTGTGAAGCTAATGGAACACCTTATCATTTATTTCGATTATTATTACTTTATCATGATCCAGAATTATGCAGTTTTTTTGATACTAAAAAAATTACACCAGATTCATATGCATATATTTGGGTATAAATCATCAAGAATATGTTACGATAAAGCCGTTTCTGTTTTCGATCGGAAGTATATCAGAGAATTGTTAGAAGAATTTTCTGTGACTTAGTTTTGCTCTATCTTGACAGAATTTTCAAATTGCTTCAAAATTATATCTATTAGACGTGGTTTTTTGTGCTAATCATAAGTATCACATTTAAAATCCGAAAATAAAAAACAATATGATTTTAATAGAGAAAAACGCATACTACTAATAGATTGATTACAGTAGTTTTTCGTCTCACAAATCTTTTTTTCATAGAAGAAATATACATTTATCTTCTAAAATATGAAATAAGCTCGCAAAAATATTTTTAAATATCAGTTGTTTGACTTTTTATCGGACTTTATACTACTCGAAGATAGTCTGATATCAAGAAGTCATATACACCGTCTAATGCAGTCTCTCATACTGTATGCAAATATGAATTTAAAAGGTGTACATCAGGTTTCCAGAGACTCTTTAGAGAATCAATTCCAGGATCTTAGAGAGTCTAGGATTTTCGACAACGTCATCGTGTTCAGCATATGCTAATATCTATTCCTGCAATTTGTCATAGTCTTAACTCAACGTCAGTAATAGTCATTCACATTGTTAGTTGATTTTTCTCTCGGTTGAAGAGACTAGTATATAGAATGATAGAGTCGAGTAAAAAGTATGAAAAACAGTAGGAATAAGTTTGAGAACATGCTGAGCATGATGGCGTTATCAAAATGTCTAAGTTTTCGAAGATTCTGTAGTCGATTTTTCAGCAAAATCTCTGCAAATCTGACGTAAACCTTTTTTTTTTTGTTGATTTGAATTCATATCCGCATAAGGCATAAGAGATTGCATCAGACTGTGTACATGGCTCCTTGATATCAGACTACCTTCAAGTAGTATAAAGTTTAATAAAAAGTCTAATAACTCATATCGAACAATATTTTTGCGAAATTCTAATCATGTATGAGTTTTTGAGAATTGATTTCATTTGGAAAGGATAATACAAAGAAATTCTCCCTCCCGGAATACTCTAGAAAATGAATTAAAACATATTTCTTAAAAACAACGCCTAGCGTATATACTTTCAGAGCAGTTCGAAAAAAAAGCTTTTTGAAAATTCTGAGAACGTAGCTCGTCGACTTGATCTGGACTCAGATGCGGATTCAATCAGGACTGGATTCGAAAAATTTGGACTCCACTTGGGTAGATCACCGAGGTCAAAAAGATCATGTCGAGATAGAGTAAAATTAAATCATAGGAGATACTTCTAACAACCTTTTGATACACTTTTAATTGAAAACAAACGGCCGTATCGTGATAAGTTCTTTTGATTTTTTTTTTTTATAAAATTGTTTTCTTTTTGTTGTATAGGTTCGAAGTTTGTATGCAGGATCATGTTCATTAGATGTTATACTTCATCTTTGGGATGGATATTTTCAACATGCTGATCAATTTTTTATTTTTTTTCTTGCTCTTGTATTACTTATGTTTGCTAAGTAAGAAATAAATTTATTTCGATAAGAGATTTTTTTTTTATAAAAAAAAATTTTTTTAGAGAAAAAATGTTCGAAATGGCTGGTAAAGAAAAAGATGAAATTATTAGTAAATATATATATATATATGCATTCATTTATTAATCTTTTATAATAAATTTTTGTATATTTATTTAATTAGCTTTTCTATCTAAAGCACCATCAAATTTAACTATTGCTGATCTTGAAGATTTTTGTTCATTAGCTAATCATTATGCTTCTAATACACCTCAATCATTCCGAAAAGTAAAATATTAAAACAATGTTTTTAAATATAAATTTATTTATTTTTTTTGTGTAAGGAATTTTATTCATGTTTATTTGATGAAACCGATAGTTCGATTTCTCAAAAAGCATCTTCAATTTATCAAACATTATGTTTACCTGTTTCAGCTAAAGAATTACTTCAAGCAAATCAATTGGGCGGAGTAGATATTTGTATTATTTTATTTTTTTATGAAACTAAACAATTATTTCTAGACAGCAGGTGTCAGATATTTTATTGTCGATTGTCGACCAGCTGAACAATACAATTCTAAACATCTTTATACAGCATTTCATCTTGATTCAAATCTTGTAAAACAAAAAATTTATTGTTATATTATTGAACAAAAAAGAAAAAAGCTTTTTTTTTTCGTTTATAGTTACTCGAAGATCCAAAAGAATTTGGTGGAACTGTTGATGCTCTTCTTGCTGCACAAAAACATGCAATTGAAGCTGGTATATAAGAACTAACTTTAAAATTGAACTATTTCGACAAAAGATTTTTTTTCTCATAGAAAATAATATCCTATGAACTTTTCTAGAGCTAATTTTTATATGTTAAGTTACTTTCGATATCCTGAAAAAAAATCAGCACCAGAAATCTTTGTTCACTAGACTTGGATCAAAAACACTTGGTCTCGTCCATCTCTAATTCTAAGATATAAATATAACAAGGAAATTTACGTTGTCATATAACATAAATCCTACTTGTGCAAGACTTAAACTCGAAAATCGATGTTGAAAGTGGTCGCAAGCGAGCCACGATATCTTATTGAAAAATTCACTAAAATGGTCATAAGTTAGGAAGAAAGATCATCTTTATTATTTGGTGAGATTTCCTTGTTAGACTTGAAATTCTTTCGTTCATGAAGATTCAGTTCAATTAAATTTGAGATTAATACTACAGATTATTTCGTTAATGAACGAACGTTCGATCGGTCTGTATAGTATATAAAGAAACATATTTTTGATAGTACGGGAACGTTTGTTTAATTGTTTTACAACATTGAATATAGAAATTTTTATGAGTCGGAAGTCAAATTTTTTCATTCGATCTTTACATTTGACAGTACATAATAATTTTTTTCGTATCAAACACAACTTGCCGATGTCTAAAAAGAAAAGTCTTCCAAACTGTTCAATCGCTTTTGAGTCGAGACTGTGTGCATTAGGTAGATCCAAATGAAGTATAAATACCCTGAGAAGCACTGGTGCCCTTAGCATAGTACTATGGAGATCCTGCACTTTTACGCTATTTTTTTAAATGAATGCTGTGGCACAGAAAAATCGATTTTCGAATTTCGACTTGAAACTTTGCATAAAGATAAATCTTAACGAGAAAAGTTTTTTTGTAAATGTTTTAGGTCTGATCACTGTTTCTATCCTAAGATACAACTATGGTGGTAGCGTGTCATTTATATCAGTCATATCAACCAACAGATTTGGTGTTCTTCTTTTAGAATAGAAGCAAATCAAAAGACATGAAACTACTCTCGTTAAGACCTATCTCAGCAAAATTTCAAGTCGAAATTCGAAAATCAGTTTTTCTGTACCAGGGCATTTATTTAAAAAATACTGTAAGCGTGAAATGTCATCTGTAGCAATAAGCTAAGGGTCTAGAACTTTTTGCAGAGTATTCATAGCCTATTTGAGGTCTACATGATGCACATAGTCTCAACTCAAAAGCACTTGAATAATTGGAAAACTTTCCTCGTAAATATTTTAAAACCAAAAATAAATGTAATTATATATTCAATATTGAAGTCTTTTATTCGGCTTAATAGAAAATGAAATTTTCATCTTTATATTTTTTTTCCTCCCCACATTATCTTATTAAATATAACAAACTGTTTATTCTGTATTCGAATCAATTCATTCAGGGTGAGTGTCGAAGTCTCTCCGACCCTTCCAGAAAAGAAAATCTGGACGAAACACTGAAACCAATCCAATTTTTTAATCATTCAGAAATGCATACATTCATTTTTTTTTCGTACTTCTATTTAGGATCAACAGCGGGAGGTGAACATTTATGTTTTATGGGTTCTGGTCGTGATGAAGAAGATAAATATGTTCGTATGGTTGTTGCTTATTTTCTTCGACGAAATATTAAATATGTTAGTATTGCATCCGGAGGTTATAGAGGTACGTTCTATAATGATATATATATATATTGTTTTTCCTTTCATTATATTTCGTTTAAATAGTTCTTGCTAAAGCAATCGAAGATCCATCAATGATAACTAAAGCAAAACCAAATACAACAAAACATGATGAAACATCTATTGGATCAACAATTAAACATAATATAGTAGAAAAATTACCTGTTATTAATACACAAGTAAAATTCAAACGATAAATTTCAAAAAAAAAAGAAAAGAAATAAAGAATTTGTTTTTTTTTAATCTTTGCTTTATTAGACAACTGCATTTATTAATATGATATCAAGTGCTGTTAAAACTAAATCATTAGAAGTAAGAGATAAAGTTAAAGATTATATAACAAACACATCATTAACTGAATCAACTCATCCAGTAACCAAGTTAGTTATTTAACTATGATTTTTTTAATTAATTAATTTTCTTTTAATAAATAGACATGTTAGTAAAGAAGATAAAATTGATAAACTTTATCGACAAAAAAATCAAACATCAGTTTTTTCACTCGATGGTGATGATGATGATGATGGTAATTGTATATTTCATAAACTTTATTATTGTATAGTATCATTTCTTAGAACACGCATCATCATCAAAACAACATGATGCACCTGAATTAGTTGATATTGAATCATGGTTTCTACGTAATGATATGTTATATAAATATGAATGTGAACATTTTGATGAACATAATCGAACACATCCAAGGTAAAATATTTCTATGATTTAATCATAAAAATATAAATTTATTGATCTAAAACAGAAAACAAATCGAATTGAGAAATAATTTATGAATCAAATTCTTTGAACGCTAAAGATTAGTAATCAAACATATACATTTAATGAAGATTTTCATTTAAATAGACATTCGAAATAACAAATATGAACTTTATTAATGTACTTTCAATTGGAAGTGTAAACCGATGTATTGATAAGCGGTGACACCTTCCCTGCTTTTGAAAATTGTTTTAAATCCCCCGTTTAAGCTCATATTGAATTCATGAGGAGATCTTGGTAAGACTAGAAAAAGTCTAGGAAGGTTCCTATCTGTGAGTATATGAACCTAAATTATGGCTGTTTTACTGAATTTTTGATCCAGTTTTGACTATTTCAATATGAAATTTCGTCTATAAACAGAATTAGTAGGGAATCCTGAAAATTTCAGTCGAAAATAATGTTCCTTTGTTGAGATATTGAATTTTCGAGTAAACTTGATTTTTGTGGCAAATGACCATTTTTTAAAAATTCAATATCTTGACAAAAGAACGTTCTTTTTGGCTGAAACTTTCAGGATTATCCCAGAGTCATGAGACCTATCTATGGGCAAAATTTCAGATCGCAATTTTTTTATTTGATTTTCCGGTAAATACCTAAAGTTGGATCGAAAACTCGGTAAAACGGTTATAACTAGACTCCTTAGGCCCACGGGCACGAATCATTTTAGGACTTTTCTAGTCTTATCGAGACCCCCTTGTGATCTCAAACGACGAGTATCAGTTCGGATAGTTATTTTTTGAGTAACATCTCTGAAAATGATGATTGAGAACTGATTGATAAGAAACTAGACAACTTATGGGAAAAAGATATGATTGTAATCCGTTTCGATCTGATTAAAAAAGCGATTCAATTAGCACTATTTTAATCAAATTATTCGACTTCTAATCGATGCTAATCATGATAGCCGTAAAACGATTTTTTTCTTGAATTTTAATTTAAACATTCAAATATTGATTAGTTCTTCGGTCACGAGGAAAGAAGAATACCTCTATCTTTCGGTATGAAATCCTAACGTAGAATTCTTGCACTAGCCAACCATATGCTTAGTTAGACCATTAGACCAACCTTTGACACACTGCGAGATACGATATTAATTGACGCTCGCTTGTAGATTAAACTTTACTTTTTGTTTCTCCTATTTTTTTGGCATGGAAAGAACATCTTCGAAAACTTTCAAAGCTCGAGTATCTATTAAAATTCTTTAACTGTTTTTGGTTTTCAGTGGCTATTAGTATCATATAGATTAAATTTAAGAATTATGATCATGTTGTATGTTACTTTTTTTCCATTATTTCCATAATCAAATTCAGTTGTATAAAACTGTTCTATATAAATATATTTAATTAATTTTAGTCTTCTATTGGTTTCATCAACACATTTATATATTTTACGAAAATTACCTGAACATAAAACAATGGCAAATCTTATATGTCGTCGTCCAATAGACACAATAACAAAAATAACAAGTAAAAAACATTTTCCTGAAATAATAACATTTCGTTATGGACCAAAACAAAATGAACAAGAAGAAAAATCGAAAATGAAAACAGAAGTTCCTATGGAATTTGATAGAGTTTATTTACCTGATGCTGGTGATGCAACAAAAAATATTAAATTATTAATTATAAAAACATTAAATATGTTTGATAATCTAGATGAACCTGTATCAAGTTGAACAACTTTTTTTTTTTAAAAATATTATGTGAAATTTTTTTTTTTAATCGAAAACTAATTTAATTTAACATTTTAAATTAACACAAAAAAAAAATATGTTTTTCGAATTTGTAGAACGGATGAAACATAAGTTCTACAGAAATTTTATGTTTTTTTGATATAACGTTGTAATCCAATATCGTAGAAACTTCATCCCTTTTTTTGTTAGAAAGAGCAAAATGTCTAATGCAAAAAAATAAATATAAGTAAAAGTCTAAGAACAAAAGGTATCGAGAACTTCTTGCGAAAGTTTTTTTTTTTTTTTTTGAAATATATTTTGTTTGATATTTTTTTATTCCAGCATTATAAAGACATAGCTGTTCATTGCAACGAAGATTTTTGTGTGACATTAAAATAATTGATCTAGCTTAGGAAGAGACTAAATTATCAATAGTTTAATTAAAAATTCTATTCAATTTTGATAACATGAAAATAAACTTTTTTTTTTATTGAATATCTTAGCATCCTATTCCAAATAATGTCGTTTCAGGGCGACAGACGCCTTCATCCGTGTCACAGATCGCGACGGACGTTATTAACATAATACAATCAAAGCCCATATATTCATAGATCTACAAGAGATTAAATTTATTCCGTTTTAATTTTCTACTCTTCTACAATTTGAACAATAACAAGTATAGATCGAAAAGGGTGCAGATGAGGGCGAGATCTCTATTCCTACCAACATCGACGTCTAAAAGAAGTAAAGTGACTAAAAGGAATGAAATTTATGAAAGTCATAGCAGCTTGTAAAACCACTGCAATCATTACTAATAAAAAGTCATTGATATACTAGAGAATGTTATAAAATATATAGAATAATTCGTTTTTTTCTTCGCGAGAGTAATAATACTCTCTTCTTACATCTAAAAGACTCACAACAGGCTGGTAAAAAGATAACATTTTTCTATTGAATGAAATTCATTTTTTTCCTAAGTTTGAAAAAGTCTTCCGATACTTTTTCTTCTAAGATTTTTTTTTTGTAATTTTCGAGAAGTATTTCTGATCGAATTCGTTTATAAGATTTATATACTAGACATGTTGCTCTTTCTAACAAACAAACAATGAAGTTTCAAAGATATTGCATTAGAACACTATATAAAAAATAAAATTAATGCAGAACTTTTGCTTCACCAATTATCATTAATCATAGTCGAGGGTTCAGCTTGTGATCAAATTCAAGATTTTTGTTTTTTCTGTATTGAAATAGTTTTCATAGTAGTTCATGACAATGGTTAATTAAAATAATAAAAAAAAGTACATTTTTGTATCCTTCTGCGGTTTCAGACTATCGAATTCATCGTACTACGATCATGTGTTTTAAATCTCACTCTTATTTGAAATGTTCAAACGAATTGAGAAAATAATATATGATAACAAGATTTTTTAACTCGATTATTTTAGAAATAAGATTGTTTCAATTCAAATATAATCGCTTGAAATCAGTAAATCTTGAATAGAAGGATTATAGCGATCAAAAGAAAGAATTATTAAATTCTAACTACAGTGGCGGATCTAGGATTTTTAAAAACGTTATATCTCACGTTCAGAGCATGGGATCTACATGAAACTTATGTAGGATGATATTGGACCCAAATGAAAGGTTTTTACGAAAAAAATTTTTCGATCGAAGTTTGCGAAAAAACTTTCGTTTTTAAAATCGCCACCCCCTCAAATTGTTTTTGTTTTTAGCGATAATCTATTGTTAAGAATTTCGTCGTAATCTACATCGAATTTCATCGACAGATTTCAAATTTCATGTAAAAATATGCATCCGTTCAGGAGTTATAACGTTTTCAATTTTCGAAATATGTCCCAAAAAACGGAACAAAGATTCAAAACGTTATAACTTCTGAACGGATGCATATTTTTACATGAAATTTGAAATCTGTCGATGAAATTCGATGTAGATTACGATGAAATTCTTAACAATAGATTATCGCTAAAAGCAAAAAAAATTTGAGGGGGTGGCGATTTTAAAAACGAAATTTTTTTCGTAAAAACCTTCCATTTGGGTCCAATATCATCCTACATAAGTTTCATGTGGATCCCATGCACTGAACGTAAGATATAACGTTTTTAAAAATCCTAGATTCGCCACTGTCCAACTATAAATTTTAATATATAAAACGTGTTAGATGACGACTAGGAGCATTTCTTGAAAATGAGATCGTATAAAAAGTTATACACTTTATATCAATTGCAAGCTTGTTTTCTCCTAACAACTTAGAAAATTGCTACCTTCTGCTTGTTATAAATTTTCAAGTTTGTCTAACATTATATTTATATTTTCTTGTGTTTGACTTTCACGAAATAAAACATAAATAAATTCGATAATAGATAATATTATTTTTCATTGACTATCAATCTTAAATTAAACTTTAGTCCACATATTGTGGTAAATGAGTATAATAATTATCATGTAAAAATAAATCTGGATTATTTCGCTATTGTTTCCATAAATCATCAAATGTAATATGAAAATTAACATTCTGAAATTATCTATATTGCATTGAATCTGTTTTTTTTTTATGAATAGACTAAAGACCTGCGAGACATTTTTGTAAAAAAAGAAATGGAATTTCGGACTCGAAAAATAAAGTTTGTTCCACAAAACTCTAGAATAGATTAATAATAAAAAGTAAAACAAATATAAATATATAACACAATTTCGAAGCTAAAATTACATCAGTAGTTTGGAATGTTTCAATTAATTCACTTTTATCCCATCATCATCTATTCGGCGTTTGATTAGTTCAAATAGCTTGACGAAGAAAAATATTCTTTATTAGCATCAGTATAAAAAGATTAAAAATGTCCGTACAATCTGAAATAAATATATTTCTTATTAAAATGAACAAAACAAATAATAATCCGGCTCAAGAATATTATAAACTATGTTATTATCTTTTTATCTTGATTAAAAAAAATAATACAGATTATAGTGATAATAACTCATTTATTGAGTTTGAATATATGAATGTTAGATTGAATATTAAATGACTTCTTTCAATTTTATTTTGTTATTCAATATTATCTTTTGAATATATAAATGAATAATGATATATCCAATCTCTTGACTTCGATTTAAATTTGAAAAAAAAAAATCAAATTGAAATGTACATTGTCCTACTTTAGATTTTATCGATCAATCACCGTCATTTTGATCTAATTGTTTAATAATGCGAAGTACAATTAATCAATCACTACTTTTAAATGTCAAAAAAATCCTTTTCGCTTTCTGTGTACTTTATTTATATATGGACAAGATTAATGTCATTTTTTTTTCTCTTCGCAATGAAAAGACAAAAATTTTTCTTCGTTGAAATTATGAATATATTTTTCATATGATTGACTTTTGTAGAGAATGACTTGTTTTAATCATTGATTCTTTAATTCATTCTACATTTCGTCAGTTGCAATTGTTTCGAAAAAAAAATATTACAATAGTATTCAATTATAATCATTGATATTCAAATTTCAATAAGTCATTAAAAATCATTTTATAAAATATTAAATTCAATATTTGACATAAAAATGACATGAATCATGAAATCATACCAATAGAATTTTTTTGTTTATGTTTGATTTTTTAAGATAAAATATTGAATTGAAATTCGTTTTTAATTATCTAATTTTGTGATAAAAGTCAATATTCAACTTTGATAAATATAGATTATCTTTTACATCATTTATTTGTTCAAACTTCATTCTTTTTGTTTTTCTATTTTTATATAACATTGTGAACATATCAAAATGAACAAGTCATATATAAATGATCTTCTTATTTTTAATAGATCATGTATTTCGTTTATGTTACATTTTTTTTTTGTGTATGTGAAAACTAAAATACAACAAATATATTCAGTTGTCTTTTCATATACATATCATATTTGTGTATACGATGTATTCTTCGAATGCAAACTGAATATGATAAATCGGACCTGACAAGACCGTTTATAGATGAATGCGAGAAAGCCTAGGTTAATGTTACTTATCATTAGATTGACTCGAATGAAATAAAAAAGAAAAAAAGATACGCTTACTGTTCTCATTTATGATTAAAAAAAATATGTTGTGAATTGGCGATAGGCGTGGACCATTGCCCATTAATGGACGACGTAAGGAAGAAGTTTCTCACCTTTTCATCGAACACGCATTTATCACGGTCCAATGATTAGTCATTTGAACGTTGAACATTGCATACAAATATATACACATCAGTTCACTTTTGTGCGTGAGAAATATCATCAAGAAAAAAAGTACGTTGTAAAAATCATTATACGCGTCATTTTCTCATCATAACCATTATTCGATCAGTCGACTTTTATCATGGCATTACTTGAAGATCCAACAATTCAACGTATACTTAATGAAGTTAATAAAGCAGCTAGTGGTGGAGTATTTGGTCTTGCTGGTAATTATATATCTGAATCACCAAAACCAATGACACAAATTAATATGCCAAAAGTCAATAATTTCTACACTCATCAACAACAAACACCACTTTTTTATCCACCACCGGATATGTTTGGTATTGATGGTGTATCAAATTTTGATCAAAATCTTGATTTACATTCATTAGAATCTATTGTACCAATAGCTACACCAAATAATTTTGATCTTTATAGTTCAGGTTTTTATAATACAATGCCACAAAATATCATGTCACCATATGAAAATTATAAAAATGATATATTAAATAATACTAATAATACTAATAATAACAATAATAATAATAATAATAATAATAAAACTAAACCAATACGTAGAGCATCAAGTGTTTCATCAACAAATAATGACATATTATTAGATCATCATCGTCATCAAGAATATCCAACAATACCACCAAAATTGACATCTGCTATGCCAAATCTTGGTTTAAATTTACGTACAACACCACAATTAGATTCTATACCTGTCAATGTAGGTGAAACAATTGATGAAGGTATATCAAATGAAACAACAGATATAGCAACAGCATCAATTGATTTATTAGCTGATAAAGATGATAATAATTCTTTACCACCAAATAGTAATAATGATGAAATTGATCCACCACCTCATATATGTAAAAAACTATTTTCATTTGAATGTTTTTTTTTTGTTTATATATAATTTTATCATTGGTATTAAATTTTAGCTTCAGCTGGTCGAATTTTTTATGATCCAAATCCTCAAATAATTCAACGTAAAGGTTCAAATTCAGTAACATATAAACAAAATATAATTGTTCGTTTTTTACAACCACCACCGATTCCAAATGCTGGTCCACTTGTTATTAAAGAAGTTGATTTAGAAAAAAAAAACCAATTATCAATCAATCTTTTGTTTGTTTGTTTTTTTTATTTTTATCTTTAGATAAGTCCTCAACAACAACCACCATTACCACCTTTGGTTATTAAACGTAAGATATTTTCTTCGTTTTTCTTATATATATTCATTTCTTTTTCATTTAGAACGTCCAACACCACCAAAAACTCCACCACCACTTGTTATTCGTGAAAAACCACCACCACTTCCACCAACTCTTGCAACAAAAGTGATAACTCGGTAAATTAAATTTATATGTAGATTTATTTTGACAAAAAAAAAGAAAGAAAATTTTCTTTTTTTCCCCAAAGACATTTACCGCCTGACCCAACTCCACCACGAGCTGTAATTATAGAACGTTTACCTCCATTACCACCTAAACCAAGGGATATTATAATTGAACGTTGGTTACCATATGAAATAGTCAATCAAAAACGTAAAGTTATTGTAGAACATGTTCAAAAACCTTCTAAAGAATATCCACAACCAAAAAAATGTTATCATAACGTATATATGATTTCTTTGAAAAGAATGCTTTTTCTTTTATTTTTGTTTTATATAGTTATGAACCTGTTCATGCAAAAATTGAACGTCATTTTCAAAAACAAAGTGTTATTCGTGAAGATCCTCAAGCATATACAAATCGTTTTGGTGAACAATTAGTTGAACCAGCTGTTGTTATTGAACAAGCTCGTGCTGCTGGAGTTCTTGAAGATCTTGTAAAATAATTATTTGTTTCTTTGTTGTTTTTTTTTAAATGAAAAGTTTTGATTTTCATAATATATTTATTAGGATCCACCAGTATCATTTCTTACATCAACAACTCATAGCGTTGCTATAGGTACAGATTATGAAACAACAATAAAAACAACTGCTGAACATGAACCAGAACAAATTAATAATAAGGATCAACAAGAAGAAAAAGAAATTCTTCCAACATCTATTGAAAATATGCAAGATGATGATGTTTTTGTTGAAGAAAATGTTACACCTTTCTATATGAATTCAGGTATTTTATACATAATTAAAATGATTTATAATGAAATGTTTCTTTGTTGAATTTTTTTTGTTTAAGGTGAAAGTCTTCAACAAACACTTCATCGTTTAGGTATTGAAATACCAAAAAATATCTTAAATGAACATCAATTTTGAGATTGATGTTATCAATCTCAAACATTTTCTTAGTTCTTTACTCTCTTTTTCTTTCATTTGTATTTTTCTATAGTTATCATTTAGTAGAAAAGAAAAATTTGGTTTTTTTTCTATATATATATGTATACCTTTAATGTGATTAATAAAAAAAAAAACTAAAAAATGTGAATTCATTGTTCGCATGCCTTTTT